GCGCCCGGGGCCGGCGCTCCCAGCCCCGAGCACCTGGCGGGCACATGCAAATGCCCCCGCGGGCACCGTGTTGGGGACCACAGGTCTAGACTATGGAGTTTTATCAGCAAAAGGTATGCCAATTGCGCTCCACAATTTGCGCACCTTTTTTAAATGCTTTTTTCAGAAGAGGCTTTTCTGAAATTTGGCCCATCTACACTGGGCCAAATTTCAGAAAAACCTCCTCTTTCAGAATAGTCCTTATTCCTCGTGAATACAGGGCCTCCTGAAAGAGCGCGTCTGCTCTTCCGCAAAAAATGTTCCCTGGATGCAGTGGAGTTTTCTTGGGATACCTCTAGATGTAGCCTAAGGGAAGTCGGAGGAAGAGGTCTCTACCATGGACTGCCTGCTGCGTAGACAGTGCCAAAAACCAAAATAAGCTATTTTGACTTAAGCTACACAATTGATGTAGCTCAAGTTGCCTAGCTTATTTCAGCTTTAGCCCTAAGTGCTACACAATTGATGTAGCTCAAGTTGCCTAGCTTATTTCGGCTTTAGCCCTAAGCTACGTATAGATTGGCATGATTTTCTGCAAATGCTTTTAACGGAAACATTTTTCTGTTAAAAGCATTTGCAGAAAAGAGCATCTAGATTGGCACGGACGCTTTTGCACAAAAGCACTTTTTGCGGAAAAGCGTCAGTGCCAATCTAGACGCGGTTTTGCGCAAGAAAACCCCGATCACCATTTTCGCCATCGGGGCTTTTTTGTGCAAAACAGTTTTTAGCTGTCTACACTGGCCCTCTTGTGCAAAAACATTTCCAGAAAAGGGCTTTTGCCTGAACGGGAACGTCAAAGCATTTGCGCAAGAAGCACTGATATTAGACAGTAGAATGTCAGTGCTTTAGCTCAAAATCAAGCGGCCAGTGTAGAAAGCTGGCAAGTTTTTGCGCAAAAGCGGTTGCTTTTGTGGAAAAACTTGCCAGTCTAGATGCAGCCCTACTGTACAGGCATGCCCTAACTAGGTTAAAAGCAAAGACTCACAGCGTAGTCAAGGCTTATCTTCTCTTTTCTAGTTCAGGTAAAAAACATAGCTGAAAATAAGTGCACTCAACTTAATCCTGTAAAATCTTTCTATTAACTCTTTAGCAATTTATTTTTCTGACCTATTTGCTGGTTTTGTAAGCAAATAACAGGTTACAACTGGATATTCTCCAGAAAAATCCTACTAAATAGGTTATGCTTTCACTAGCTGAAGTGCAAATAATAGCAATAATTATAATAATAAGGTTGAATTTAAAAACAAATACTTAAACATATCATGTTTGTCAGCTTGGCCTCAGGTAAATCCTTTAACCCATCAGACTTGTGCATATTTTTGTAAACATATGCAATCAGATCATGGTTTTCATCCTTGGCCAGAAATTCCATTCACAATAGTATACATCAACAATATTTAATAAGGTGTAGCACTGAAAGTTAAGTAAATTCTTGTGAGAGATACCTTTACTGGAAGCAGCAGTTAACCAACTATTTGTATCTTCATTACTGAACCTGGAAAGGAGAGAGAAAAAGTTGAATTTTGCATTTGAACACTTTGTGCAGAAATTTATCAGTTAATAGTCAATTAAGACAGGAGCTCTTCTCATAAGGTCACAATGAAGTATTGCTGAATACTGGCTTTCCTCAGATAGGTATTTCTCTCACTGGTTTCAGAGACTGTAAAGAAAACCTTCATTCTCTTAATGGATTTAAATGCTTAACTGTCAGGATCATTTTTATTGCTAACACTGATCTAGTTTAGTTGGGTTCTTATTGCGTTAAATAAATAGCCAGCTAAACATTCTGCTTATTTTTCCTCTTCCCTGATCATGTCAGTAATTTTCTCTTAATTGGCATTTTACAATATGACTTTTTAAGAAGCGTGCAATAGCGAATGTATGTGACTATCCAAAGGGCACCAAATACAATATAAAACAAAAATCTTTAAAAACAACAAATGGTCTGGTAGCACTTTATAGACTAACAAAACATGTAGATGAGTGGTATAGCACTTTATAGACTAACAAAACATGTAGATCAGTGGTACCCAATGCAATGCCCGTGGGCACCATGGCGCCTGCCAGGGCATTTATGTGCGCCCACCAAGTGACAAGGGCTGGCTCAAGCCATTCTTAAGCCCCCCGGGCGCATGTGCGGTGCCCCCCACACACACATGCACGGCCCCACCCCCAGGCACACCATGCGTGTGCACTTTATAGACTAACAAAACATGTAGATCAGTGGTACCCAATGCAATGCCCGTGGGCACCATGGCGCCTGCCAGGGCATTTATGTGCGCCCACCAAGTGACAAGGGCTGGCTCAAGCCATTCTTAAGCCCCCCGGGCGCATGTGCGGTGCCCCCCACACACACATGCACGGCCCCACCCCCAGGCACACCATGCATGTGCGGCCCTGTCCCCGGGCGCCTGGCAGCCCCAAAAGTTTGGGGACCACTGATGTAGATGGTATCATGAGCTTTAACAATCTTTAACATGGAGTAAAAGTTGTAGTAACTCAACAGTGCCCTGTGCTCCTTAGATCCTTTCAGAATGTGATAATTCCCAAAACATCAGAAAAACCAAGAAATGTAGCATTACAAGAGAAAAACAGGAAATGCAGCATTAAGATGACACTTCCCACACAATACAAGCTGTCACCCTTAGGGAAATCACAGCACCTCACTTATCCATTTTGTGAAGTGTGATCTTTGCAAACCAGCAGCGTGTTCCCTAGCTCACAATGCTGCACCAAGCACCATAGGACTCCACTGAATTGTCTGATTAGGTGTGCTAAATTGGGGTTGGGTTAGATACAGAGAAATGACAACTTGGCTTTGAGTAAGGTCCTATTTATTGTTCCAGTTACTATTGCCAAGCCAATAGGAGCATATTACAGAAGTTTGCTCAGTTTCTATTGCCTCCTTCTGTTCTTTATTTCCATGTACTACTATAGCACTTTTGTGGACTAAGCATTAAGTATGAAATACTTACAATAGAGTCCTTTAAATTATGAGTTCAATTGCCACTGAGTCTGCTCAGACCTTTATTTTTTCAGAGCAGATGAGTTTCATGGAGTTTGCTTGATAATGGTTTTGAAGAGGAAACCTCAGAATCAGGCATCTCACAGAGACTGCAGAGCTCTCTAGACAATTTCTTTGTAACAGAAGCTAGTCTGGAGCTAAAATACCTCCTCACTGCAATAACACTACTGTAAAAGGTCGTGCTTTAGATTGGTGCCACAGCACTTTATAAAGGCTGGGATTCCTTTGCAGAGATTATCTGAAAGTTCTGGAATTCTTTGGACTCTTGGGGGTGCTCTCTCTCTCTTACCAGGATGAGCCATTCTGCAGAATGTTTCTTCCTAGAGGCAATCAGTGGGATTCAAGTGATTGAGTTTTACCTAAACAAATACAAACCCATTCCCTCATCTTTAAAACAAGTCAGAGTCCTTCAGTGAGTTTTTATGAACAACTTGAGTTATTCCCTCCCCCTAAAAATAAGTTGCTTTCAGAACCATTTGCTGTAACACAGTAGCTGCTAATGAATTTTTACTTAGCATAATTTCCTATTCTTGTAGTCTCTGTTAAATCCTTTTGTCATCAATACAGGAAATGAACTCTCCACTCAGGCACATCACTGACTGCATAAACTGCAAATTTTTGAAAGGGAAGAGAAATTCAAAGTTGTATTTGTCACCAAATGTCCTCCTCTGCCTCACCTTCAAGACTTTTCTCTGCCATTCAGCTAGGCAAGTCTAGGTTATTGCTCTACATGGCTTCTGCCAGCATTACAGTCAGAAGTCAAGTATCAGAGGAGTAGCCATGTTAGTCTGAAGCCGTGTTAGTCAGAAGTCAGTTTTCCTTCTCTCACAGATAATACACTAATAAATTACAGCACCATACTTGTCACTCATTGCAAAATCAGTTTGCCTTCATTAAAAACATAAAAAATTACAGTTAAGTAAATGTAACTACTTCCCAGACTAACATTGTAGCACTAAGAGAGACAGAACTTTCAGTTTTACATATGAAATAGTAGCTACAGCATGGCTGCAAAGTTCTGTCTCTGACCCTCTTCTTTGGGCAAAGCTACGCACATAGTGAATCCTCACCGTACTTGTTTCCCAAGCAGATGCAGTCACAGTTTCTTCTTAGTCCAGCTCCCTTTCTTCTTAGCATGCAACAGTCTTTTTATGAATCCACTACCTTCTGCTCTTTCTTATGGACTAGTTGTCTAGACCAGTTTTTTAAAATATTTTTGCACACTGGTTCAAACTTGCTTGGAAGATGACTCATCATTCTCTCTCTCTCTCTCTCTCTCTCTCTCTCATTTTCAGAGCTGTCATCTTGATACCATGCTGTAGAGACGCCTCTCTGTCTGGCATGCTAGGTATAACAGTAGCCAAATATGGGAATATATAACTGCTGAAGTAGATACTTTTACATTAGGCACACCCTGTTCCCCTCCCCCTCAGTTTGCCCAAACGCCCTAGCTTAAGTTGTCCTGCATTTTGCCCTAGCTTAAGTTATTCCTATAGAATACTCCAATGTCTTACTAGTTCTCATTGTTACTCTGCTCAATGATGCACAAAAACAGGCATTGAAGGATAAGAAAGACACACCCTATGTAAAGGGGGTGGGGGGCTATGCAATTTATAATATAGTATTAAATCTTCTGAGTCTTGATAAGGATGGAAAACTTTTCCTCTTACTCTTAATTTACAGCTTTCTTTTCAACCCCTCCATGATAAGTTTCAGATAACTGCCTAAGTTTAGATGACCAGCTGTTCAGACAAGGCTTTCTCTTATTTGTCTGAAAAGTGTGTGTGCCATCAAGATGTTGGGACTAGGGATAATGGGGGTGTAGCAGCACTGCCTGATTTAACGTAGTTTCCATCATATTCAGGGAATATGCAGTTTTGTTCAATGACTTTCAGATTCTCCCACTATAAAGATTGTTCCAATGCTGCCGTTTGCCTTGTACAGCAAGGACTGCAACATTTAGCAACTCTTTACTACACACCCATAGGAAGCTAAATGAGAGGTTTGTAGTACACCCAGCTCGGTGCTGCTAGTGTGCTACTTTAGAAGTGAGTGACACAAGCCTCGCAGCAGCAGCTTTTAGTTAAATTATACACAAGTGGAGGAAATAGGGAACAGCGGGTAAGTGTCTTGGCCGGGAAACTCATTATTTGAATTCAAAGGGGGTGAGTGAAAATAAAGGGAAGCAGCTTCTGCAGATATGGCACTCTCTTCTCCATACCCTCCTGCACAGGCATTAAAACCTGTTACAGTTACAGTATTGCGTAAGACTAGCTACAGTTAAAAAAAAAATTCGGTCTCAGAAGGAATGACACCTCTTCCTCATACCAGAACAACCACTGGATTGTTGTTGCTTTTTTAGCTCCCTTATTGTGCTATAATGATATTAAGGGCTCCCAGTTAAGAATCCAATTTCAATATTGTTGTGTCCCATTTTATCATGTCATTTTGGCATGGCTTGGATATTGTTTCATTTGCAAAGGATGAAGCTGAATGCAGGTTAAGATGAATAAGTAGAACTTTATTAAATCCTATGCGCTGTTCAGTCTGTGGGACTGCATTGCTTCCAGCCTACTCCCTTCATTCCCCATTTCTCTGAGGGAAAAAAACCTCTGACAATTGTGTACTGGATGCACAGTGGAATGGACATGTGTCAATCAAAGAAGACTGTTAACTGATTTGAATATATATATATATATATAAACCAAATTTCAATCCAACAAATTCATTAACTTCACAAATGACACTGAAACATAGGGATGCTGTTACTCCTACACTATTTATAAAAATAAATATTTATTGAATTCATTTTAAAAAATGAGTTTGGCTTAACACAGGTTGTTTGCACTATGACTGGGCAATGTGGAGTAGGATAAAATACATTCAACTCCTTTTGGAAAGCTATCTATGAAGCTAGCTATAAGCCTTTTGACTTTCAGGGTATTTGTGTCTGTATGTTTAGCACAGGCATGTCAAACTCGAAGCTTACTGAGGGCCGCACAAATGAAAACTGATAGCTTTCAGGGCCACCAAAGAAAATGTACTTCTATCGGAAAGGCATAATTATTTATTTGTATTGATTATGTTTTAGGTATATTTTATAATAATTTTTTCAGGTCTTGTTTGAATATAATACAATAATTTGAAGTGTAAAATTGCTATTTGTATCCATGAAGACCTTGAGTTTAAGGTGCTTCAGCCCACCCTGCTCTAACCCAATCCCCCTCCGTTCCCCCAGAGCCAGGCACCCCTTCCCCCCCGCTCTAACCTAATGCCTGGGTCCTGGGGCCGCTGCCACCATGCGCTTCTCCCTCCAGGTGCTGGGACGCATGTGCAG